CTTTCCGATGGAGATTTATCTGAATCAAAGGAGGGTCCAACACGCCTGACTATCGAAAAGCCAGCCTGTTCAAGATACAATATCGTCGGCATGCAGGAAGATTTATCAAACTCGAGCTGGAAGGCAAGATGCACGAGCCGTCACGAGGATCTTGGATATTGCGCATTGGGGCCAGTTATGTGCGAATATAGATACGAAGGAACGAAAGAAAGCGGATGGGAAGTTCGCCGCATAAAAAGAATGGGAACGATCTTGTACGAGACTGACGGCCAGGCAGCCTACTAACCATGAAGTGACAGCAGATCCTAAAGCCTGGAATGCAGCAAATATCTTTACAGGTTATAAGACGGAAAAGACAGGGATAAACCAAAGAGGAACACCTTCCAGCATCTATCAACACCTGAGCAGGGCCCAGAGCAGCAAAGCTATGCAAATAAGAAGCGAATACATTGGGTTCAATTCCTATCTGCACAGGGGGAAAGTTCCCGGAGTAGACAGCCCGCGATGTCAGTGTGGATATCTGTCCCAGAATGTGAGGCACATGGTCATGGCCTGCACCAGCTGGGCAAAAACAAGAGGAGAAATACTGAGAAAGGCAGAGAACTAGTCATTTGAGGCTATGATGAATAATCCCAAAGATATTGCAAGGATAACTAGATAGATCCAGCAGGAAGAGCGGCTAGAACAGTTTCGAGTGACGCTTGAAGTTGAGGCTACGATGAGGGCAAGAGAAGAGGGTAGAAGGAAGACAAACTTCTACCAGTAGCAAGGAAGCGGACGGGATCTGCACTGGATATAGCAGTGTTAGTGCACTTCTTACAGGTAACACAGAATCAAAGTGTAAACAAATTGAAAGGTTGAGGGGGTTTTTACCATAAAGGTTTCCTATGTAAATATTAGAGTTCATAAACACCTGTTTGGGCTAAATGAGTTCAGATTCAAATTCAAAATACAAACACTGAAAATGCTGGGTGGTGCTGAAGTATACTATTCGGTCGGATCATAAGTATAGTGGATAGATTCGACATCTATCCTACTTAATATAAGAGATGGCTGACTCGAACTTGGCCAAACTCAATCAACTTTCTTGTAAGGGAGACGTCTCAGATAGATAATATCACCGGGTAGGAGTTATGATATACAAGTAGCTCGAATAAGTAATTAGTCCGCAACAGCTAATGATGATGCAAGAACGTCGTATGCCCAAACCCATCGGCAATAAAGCGACTAGTTATACTCCAGGTAAAAGTGAACTGGAGCTTCATCCTAACTCATACGACAGCTCAGCATTACATGACATAAACCCTGAACTTAACCTATGTCGTAACCATCCCATTACTTGGCCCACCAACACATATGCTATACGCTAAGACTAGTATTTGGCAGGGGTAGATGTTGATCTAGATGTATTCCCTGACCTTTCTCGCGGTGTTTTCATGCGTGAATAACAAAGACATTCTTGGATAATTAAACCTTCTGCAATTTTCCTCTTGATTGGTACTTGCAAAGGAGGGTCGATCGTTTTGCATAGGCAAACACACTTCATCTTGGTGTTTTCGAATAAATTCTTCACCATGACTCCCTTACAAGATAAAGAATTACTTAGCATTTACGTTATCACCGATCATGGGACATCTCTATAAGAATGAATGTAAATGCATGAAGAAAAGGAAGATTTATCTGTATTTCAACATATTACTCAATTAGCCCTAATAGTTACAACCCTTACTCCAGATGCGCATGGTTTTGGCATACCTCTGATGAGAGGTTTTTTGTTTATTACCCTATCGATTCCATGACTAGAGGGGGACTATTCTCAACACCTGTCAGTGGTGTCTCCTACGAGCCACCAGCTCTCACTGTAAAGTCCGCAAAGCCGAGATTGAGTAACACCTTTTCAACTTTGAGCTGAGTTATCTCTCCCCTCCATCAAAGAGACGCTTCCGATAATATGTAAGACGACTAAGACGACAATAATGATGCCGGTAATGGGGAGAGATAACGCGGTACCAAACGCTGCAACTGTAGTCAGAGAAGCCCTCGTTATATCACAACATGTGCTACCCACCGACGAGCGAACAAAAAGCCCACGAAAGCAAAGTAAAAGACCCATCCGCCCCCAGGAAAAGCAGATTTCGACTCGTCTACAATATCGTCCCTACTAATCTCAACTTCCGAATCTACTAGCCCGGAGGGCATCTGAAATACACGAGTTACTCGACGACCCCACGTCCGTAACGACTTTTGGATGCTAGGCTATGCTCCTGCACGGCAGTCACTCTCGACCAAGACTTCTTTGACATCCTTCCACGACCTTCGATTTGTCCTGCGGCATGAATCAAGGGAGGAGTAAGGAGGAGGCTAGGAAGGTTGAGAGACACTCTTAGGTACACACAGGTCTGCTGCTCCCGGCTGGCCGGCCTCTTCGTCATAGGGGAGCCCCGTACCCAGTGTTTTTTTGAGACTTTTCCCTGCAGCTACATACCCGCAAATGGCCATTGTTTCGTTGGCTGGAGAGGGGAGATAATGACGGGATAACGGCTCCTCTTAGTGTGTACTCGAATGAAGGCCTGTGGGGGTATTACTGCTGGAAAGAAGTCGTGAAGGAGGCATAGGAGAGAGTACACTACCCGAGGCATAGATACTCCTGGCCTGTAGGCAGAAAGGACCTAAATGTCCTTTCACAGTCATAGACCCATTAGGACAATAAACACTCACTCACCCCCTCAGGAACAACTAATATTTACAGATAAGATACACTTGCATATTCCCGGCGCTATTCTAGACAAGGACCCATTTTTGGGGATCCGACCACTAAATCAAGGAAACCCCTAATTAGAACCGAAAAGAAAGGATGTTTATAAATAGTTTGTCCTACATATTTGCAAGCTCAAGCAGGCGATCAATGAACAACAATCGATAAGAAACCTTTACCCAAACAGGTCACTTGATGTAGCACAAAACAATACTCAGACACACAATATCAGAGAAAGAGTAGTCACAAGCTGTGGGCAGACAAGACTTCAAATTCAATCAAAATCAAAATCAGAGAAAGAGTACATAATGGGTGACTAAATTTTAAAGGAAGAGCACTCATGCTTTGGATTTCATTTGCGAGTTCCACTGCTAATTTATGGCGGCTTTTTTCCCTTCTCAAGTCAATCCTCATCCGTGAAAATAATTTTTCGTTTGTGAATCTCGTTCCGATAGCCCTCAGCGAACCTATATCTTGGATAACAGGACATGTAGGTCAGCCCAGACAACCAGTAATGGGTAGTCCCGTAACAGATACTTCCATTTTACTGATAGTTCTCTATCGAAACTATGTTAAATAGCCTAAGATTTTAGAGCCACATACATGTTCCTAGGACAGGTTTATGAAAAAAAAACCCCGCTTTCTGACTATCTTGTTCCGTGTTTTTCAAATTTAGAAATCTTAACCCAAGGTTTCAAGTCTCATTCAGTTACAAGTCCGGAGGAGTGGCAGGAAGATTGATTCGACCTGTCGGAATACTCAGGAAGTATTTATATCACAAGCTTTCTATAGCATTCATAACGATTTATGGTTAACAAATATCATTAATCTTGTCTCTTCTCTAAGAAACACAAATATACAGTGGTTGTTCCTCTCTCCTAACGCTATTCCTAAGAGGGTAACTCATTACTCATCAACATAATTAGTCATTATTTCCAAGATGATACATAAACGATTATTAAATCATTAGTTCATTTGACATGAACCAACTCTATTTTATCATTTGAATCTCTAATAGAGCGATGCTGCTTACAAGCCAGTCCTTTATGAGAGAGTAAGGCGTGACATCTATAGCTCTCTACGTTCCCAAAGTATCTGTGTGAACATCTTGTAATTACAGTCTCAGTTTTTGATATTAAACTGAAAACCATGACTAGAAAGCCAAAAAAATATTATTTATCTGCAACCTGATAGACCTGAAGACGTAGTTTCATTCATGAGATACATATCTTTGGTCACTTAAATATGATAACTTCAGCCTGCCACCTCATAAACTGCTGTGGTGAAATGATAGGTTTAGCTGCAGTTTTCTCCATCTCCATAGAGCAATGGACCCTGCCACAGTACGGAGCCGATTTGCAGAAGAATTAGTTCACCCCAGAAGTAGTTCAGTATGAGAAATTTTCAGGCTCTATCTTCTTATCATAGAAGTTAGATAATTATATTTTTCTTCTTTAAACCCTCCAAAATTGAACTTTTGGTAAAAAAAGCCAAGATATAAGCCCACAGAAAAGTCGATCTAACGCCGTGTTCTTTTTGAAATTCTGAGTGAGTCTTCCATACACTGTATCTTTCAAGCATGTTTATAAGTTCTTAAGATTCAAAATTTGAAGGAAGTATCGCAGGATAGAGTTCCTCCTAGGATTTTTTTTAAAAAATTGCAGAGGTGTATGCGTGCTCCATGCACGCATTTTATCGTAAATTCAATTCGAGTTTATGCTAAATTTGGAATAGAGTAATCTAAATCGTATAACGTGTTGTTTCGTGCTATGGTGATTTTATAACCATTCGAGCCCAACACAAATGACATAAAGCAGGCTCTTTCTGCTATTTAATTCGATAAATCATGTTTATTCATTCAAATATAAAGCGTCCTTTTCTTATCTCCTAAAATATTTTTGCATTTAAATTCGTAAATTGCAACACTGAAAGGTAATTTATTTTTCGAGTTGCAATTTGTTCCATGATGAGACCCATTTATTCTTGGTGCAAGCAACTCATACATTTCTCTAACAGTAGACATAAATTTCAGATCATAATTGTAATCTTCGCCAGCTGTTGCCTGCGCTGGTTTTTTTATCTGTAGGACAACGTTAAAAGCTTCTTTATGACTGTGCTGGTAGATTGTTTATGACCGAATTTTGGCGTACGATATTTAATTTCTATATTTTTCTCACTGAGCGATCGTTATCAAGTCGAGGCAGAAGATTTGCTCGGACATACCAGATTTTCCTTGTAAACTTTATCATCTTCTATTTTCTACTCTCTTCATCCAGTCATCTCCGATCCTGAAAGCTTCAATAATAACAGCGCCTCTTCCCTTTCCAACTCTCTCGTTATTCTTCCACCAAAGGTCTTTTGCCACTGATTGATCTGCATCGCTTTCACTATCAGCAAGACCACTACAAGTATCACCGTCGCCAACAACAACCACAACGTCATGCCGTAACCAAGTTTGTAGATTTGTGATAACTTCTCCATTTGAGCCAGTTAGAGAATCCTGAAGATAGATTATATCTGCACCTATATGACGAAGTAATTGAGTGTGGCCGGTGGCGGTAGTGAAGGGGAGTACCATGGTTTGTTTTTCGACTAAGCAGAGAGCTTCAGAATATATTTTGTTAAATGAAAGTGAGGTTGACTTGGGAATACTAGAGACATTAGTAAAGCCATACTACAATCGATTAATGTACGCCTTACGGGGACTCATTTAGCATGTCATATTTGGAGCTTGATTGCTCATCGCCAATATTTGTAGCGTGAGACTCCTGTAACATTGGTTGCGAATATGCTGTATCCATAGGGTGCTCCTTGAGGTAAGGGGCATATATCAGGACAAACAAGCGTGTTTTAGAGAGATCTGTATTCTTAGGAAGATAAGATAGGATGGACTGTTAACGTTAGAGTATATAATTTAGAGGTTCCGAGGTACACACTGCATGCTCTTGGAAATCTACCTCCTCTTTATTGTCAGTGAGAATGTCGGCTGAAATGACAACAGCAACAGTTATTCTTTTTGTAGACGAAGGTCTCGGTGAAATTGACACTCCTGATTTATCTTCAGCCAGAGGCTGACTTGGACGCGAGGAGCCATTTGACTTGCTGCGTGTCGCCCTGGCATCTGCCTCTTCACTCCACGTTCGATGGTCCTTGTATGCATTTTTATCTTCTTCCATGATACTACCGAGCGCTGTACCCACTACGACACCGGCCGCAGTTATTCCCTCTACTATAGTTCTGCTAGCACCATCAAATATTTGTTGTGGACTTGGTGTTCTTCTTAATGCCCCTGACATTCTCGCCATGTAGCTCTGGTTCTCCTGAGTCGTTGAATGGTTGATTGGACTCGTATCGGTGCCATCCCTCGTCTTAGCGTTCTCGTTTAATGACTCTGTTGATAACAATCCATCATTGTGATTAAAGTCTTTCTCAAATCGCGGGTGGGTGTTATCTGGTGGTTCTTGTGGCGAACTATCATCTTCGCGCTCACTCCATATCCAAGCAGCTATTCCTATAGTTGAGGCAGTCACTATTATGGCCAGCGGTAGCCAATATGAAAATGTGCCCCCACGCAATCGACGCGTATTGCGGTCATTGTGATTATGAGCCATTTTCAAGGGGTTAAAATATGTTAAGTGTTACTATTTCCGTTTGTGGTTTACTGCATAACTACATTATTTGATGCCGAAACACATACAAACCTGATATTGGTAATTAAAGCGGTCGATTTGTTAAATTTGTATGGAATCAGCTATTTTTAATTTCGACGTCCAAGAATGACGATATAGATCTAAAATTACGGAATAGCAGAGGTGGGTAAAAGAATTGTTATGGGAGTACGATCATCATGTTTGCTTAGTTTGATGCTCATTGCTTTTTTGTAAGGTCAAGCCAAGGCATCTATGTAAGTATACAAGTGTGATCATAACCGACAAGTACCCAATGATCCCTGTCCAAACTAGACTCAATTGAATCAGACTTGAATTCCTGCCAATGTATGGTCGAGAGGACCAGATTATATAGTGTAGAGGTCAGGTAAAGCCGGGTAAGACGGAACTTCAACATTCCAGCGGTGCCGGCTTAAACGCACGGTTTACTCCGCCTATCTGCGATAGCCAAGAAAATATGCAAGCCAAACGAAACCGAGAGTAAGCCCAAGTATGATCATAATCAGCGACCTCGCAATAATTTCCGCTCTGTCATTCTTACATGCGTCCCCAAACGTAATCTTACTACATACCACCTCGCCTCTACGACCGATCAAGTTGTTAATCCAATCCCAAATGAGCACTTGCCTCATCAATCGCCGGTCATCTCTCATTACCAAATTAAACCTTTTTGTATACCCGAAAGAAAGAAAATAAGTAGCGAGCTATAAACCTTGGGTTTGGCTTGCGTGGGATCACCGCTTTGATGGGACTGTGTGGCTTGAGGGAGAACAGGTTGCTGAGATGTGAAATGTGAAAGGTAGAGGGTAAAATAGGCCACTGTAGGGCATACTGGTACTGATATTTTCGAAGGGTTATTGATATTGGAATGTTTGTGGTCACCAAGACTGATGTTTCGGATAACAAGCTATGACCTCTATTGTCTGAGAGTCAATGGCACACCCTAGTACCCCAGACAGTTTAATGAAATTCGGCTAAACTTCTGTACAGCAATTACTCTCTATCATGAATTTTCTGAAATCTCATTACGAACTTCGGGAAAGAGTCAGAAGGAGGCTAGAAAGGCAGTGTGTGAATTTCCCGAGGTAAACACAAGTCAACAGCGCCCCAAGGAGATAAGAGCTTCCAACCCCAAGGGTAGGTACTCGTGATATACAAGCATCCGACCAAATCTGATGCCTCAGCATATTTCTCGACTACGACCTGACCTTCGAAAGCCATAATGCCAGTTGAACCAGTGAGGCAATAATTTATACAGATGGGTCACTTACTGAAGGCAAGGGAAGTAGTATTGGGTATGTGATATATCCTCCACATTCTGGGCCAGTCAAATGTGTCTCACTTAACCTTTGACATGGTATGGGTATTACAGATGCAGACACCGTCCTGCATTCTGAAAGCCATTCAACATGCTAAGCAAATATCAACCTCAGACAAAATTTTCATTTTCACTGACAGCCAAGTATCACTCCAAAGGATACAAAAAGGCTCTAACCAATTCTCTCACCAAATTCGCTGCAAAGGAAAAGGTACAAATATTACACTTGCATGGTGCCCAGGCCACATGAAAATTGAAGGTAAGGAGCTAGCTGACTCACTTGCTAGAAGAGCTGCAAATGAAAAGCCAATTAAAAAACACCTCTTTACAACACTCGGCTTCCTTAAACAAGAGTTGAGACTATCTATTAAGGATGCCTGGTCTCAAGACTGGACATCACAACTACAACTTGAAGAAGAAGAAGAGAAAAGAGCAATAGGACTGGGCAAATTATATAGAGCCCAGGCTAAATGCCACATACCCAACTTTAAATTCAAACCATTCAACATGAACAAACTTTCTTGAAAAGTTCAGTCAGCATATATTCAAACTAGAACAGGATAGGAAGCCACCTGGCATATATGAACAAGATTGGGAAAAGCGATACCAATATCTGCAATTACTGCACAAAAAGTATTCAAACAATTGAACATTTAATACTTTACTGTTCATTCTTCAAGAAACAGAGGAGAAAAGAATTTCAAAATCGATCACCATTCATACTTCCAATTATTTTCAACACAAATGTGGGGAAAACTTCGCTTCTAAAATATCTTTCAACAACTGGCTGCCTATCTGGGGGAAAGGTTGAGGAAGGTAGAAATCTACCAACTAATTAATTACGGTTTACTTGTCAAGAATTTTCTTTCTATTGTAATTTACATAAAATGATAGTATAAGATGATATTTGGGTTGAGAAGGATATATGAATATAGTGTAATAGCTAGTTAGGCTGCATACACTTAATGATTTAAAAAAAAGAACCAGTGAGAGAATGCGGCTAGTGCAACAATTTCGACGTCTTACTAGGTCTACCCAAGGACCAAAGCCCGACCTACTAACGACAGCCATCCGCTTGATTGTTATACCGATCGCAATATACGCCGCGGAAGTCTAGTGCCCAGGGCTAACTAGGAAGACATACCGATGTATTGCGCAAAATCCCTAAAGCAATCGACCAACCTTCTGCCCTCGGAATACGCGTCGCTCTACCAGCCTGGCACACCATGCCGATCAAAGCCCTGAGAAGTGGGACCGACATTCCACCAGCACACATCCCGCTGGAGGAGTGTAGACCTCAAGCCGCCGCACGAATCCGCAAGATAGATGATTACCATTCGCTTTGATTCACAGCTACTGAAAGCATATAAAGCGTCCGACACCGCTATGGACTAAAAACATGCAACAAAAGCAGACTTAGTCTCGACCGAGTTCACGATTCGAGGGTCCAAAGGGTGTTTCAATTTCTGCCAGATGCCGAACTGCCTTTACCTCTCCGATCACCAATACCAGCTAAACTAAACCCTTATTGAAAAGGTAAGGAAGAAGCGGCTAATTTTATAGCACAGCAGATAGCTTCCCTGCCATACGACTGTCCTTTTTATTCTGGCGATGGCTCCGGAGCATCTATCAACCAATTTCATGGGATTTTGCGACATTTGTTAGCGGAACCGGAATAGTCTATGATGCAGAGGTCCATGGAGCTAGGGCTGCTCCTGAGGCAGTCATTACCAATAAATGCGATCAGAGTTGCATCACTATCTATGTCCTGCATGATATTTCGTGGCAGTTTAGGCACTACAAACGGGAATAAATTCCTCATAATCCTGGCGGGTACAAAAGTTCTGGAACTCGCCAGAGTAGCTGCTCCCGTAAGAGTAGGAAGGGTTCCTGGACACTCAGGGCTATTAGACAATGAGATAACTGATAGACTTGCTCGAAGAGAGCTCAAATTGCCAGATAACGCCATGACGACGCATGATAGAATGACCCCTGCTTCTTCAGGACGCCAAGCTCGCGAACTGGCCAGGAAAATGCTGACGGACTGGTGGCACTCAAACCGTCCTAAACGCTACGACGATCTTGAACACCAGATGAGGCGCAAGAAGCCGCCAGAACTAGCGCTACGGAGGGCGGTCTACGCTTGCCTGCTCGCCGCTCGAACTGTACATGGTGATTTCGTGGCTTACTACCGCCGCTTCAATCATACGACAGCCACGCCTCACTATGAGCCCAACAGAGAAAACAGAATCATTAATCTTGTACTGTGTAGAAAATCGCTGACGACATGGCGACTCAAAAGCGGGAGACAGAAGGCACTGGCGCTTGAAGTCCTGCTTAGTTCAAGAGGATAGCGGTTGTTCATGGATTAAGTCCAGGAGAGCGGAATATACGCGGTGGCTAGTCGGAGGTGGTAGGGATACCTGGACAGGGATATCAGATCGATAGTCTAGGCGGCTTGGCAAGGAAAGAGAGATTGGAATCGAGGCTCTACTACGTTATGGCCGAGGTAGAAAGATGGAAGGGAGATTATCTATGTTTTTCTTTTGTAAATGCGGGATTTCGCGTGGGAGTTTTATTTTGCTTTTACCCTGGGCCACTAGACTTGTCATGATTCAATAAATAGATGCATTTCGGTATGGTTCCGGTCATTTAGGTGGGACGGGGAATTCATACTTTACGGTAGTTAACCTGATTCGGTCTGGCCCTGTGCTTAAGCTTCAATAAGATGCGATGGATGTCACGTACCTAGAACGTTATTGAATAAACAAACAAAAAATAAGTCTATGGTGCTTGGCTGGCAGGCCTTTTTGAACACTCTAGAAGGGTAACCATATCTTCTGATTCGGTCGTAATGTTGGTGCTAGGAGATCACGCACCCAGTGGTTTTTGTGATTTTCCCCGGCTTATATACACCATCAAATGGTCATCTTTTCGTTGGCTGAGAAGGGTAGATAATAGAGGGCAAAGGACTCTTCTAAGGATGTGATAAAACAAGGAAATATAAAAGGTTGTACTGCTTGATAGAAGCGGTTTAGGAGTCGTAGGAGATATACTACTGGCATCAGAATCCTTGGTGTCGGTAACAGGATCATATTTGGGTAGTGTGAATCGTTCTATGTATTTGCGGTATTCAGGTTGTCGTTAGGACACTTACAGGGGCCTGGTTTAGCTCATTAGTGAGGCGCTTGGAGTAGAGGAAGGAAGGGGAGATGGAGAGGGAAAAGAGAAGGGATAACGTTTTATGTATTTCGAGATACCAGTTAATTGAGATTATTCACCGACTTCGTGACAGACAGCTGACTTCGTGACAGCACCCAATTTGTATTATTTCGTGTTTTACCAACACTTTGTTGTGATCTAGGAATAGCTCAGAATTGTTTATGCATACCTGCATAAACGTTATGCTATGGCGCTTAATAAGGATGTTATTGTAGACCGCTGGACAAACTGGAATAGCCGCGCTATGATTGGTGGGACTAGTATGGTGTGAACCTGCAAGGGTCATAGGAGAGTAATTTAGGTGTGGTCCGAAGTACATTGAGTCGGTAGCACTCAACCATCTTCTGTCTGTACATCTTTCTATCTTTCATCACATAATAAAGTGCGTAGCATCTTTACTAGT